GACTATAATAATAACGTATATAATACTACTACATAATAACAAGGGATTTAAATAAGCATATATAACATGATAATCAGGTTTTTTCTGATAATGAAATAGTATTACGACCCCAGTTACAACATCTGGTAATCCATTAATTATATAATAGGGTTATCGGCTTAATAATAATAATATTATTATAGGATTTTACAAAGTAATATTTTGTCACCGCAGAAAATCATCGTTCCTGATACATCGTACATTCGTACATTCGTACGGAAAAACTGTTTACGTGCCAAAATCTAAAGTAATTAGTTTTTTTTTGTTTTTGTTTACCAAAAAAAACCAACTTGTTCGCAATGTGGTAGTTTCAATGCTCGTTATGTTCTGGAAGGGAACGAGAAAAAATTTTGCCATCAATGCTTCGAGAAAATGAAAAACAACCGAGAAAATAAAAAGAAAAAGCCACCAAAAGGAGGATTTTTTGAAAATGATACGTACATATGTAAAATTTCCTCGTACAGGTGTACGACCGCAACGAAACTGTACGAACTCAATGGTACGAAGTCAGTCGTACGTACGTATGAAGATTCTTCTCGTACAGTGAAATTGCACAACCCTGATATAGGAGTTGTGATCGCATAGGATAAGTCTAACTGTATAGTATTTGAATAATAAATTGTCATGACATCTATTTGATATGCCAATAATTCTAATATGCGGCATACGCCATTATCCTTTTGTTTGATATAGTGCGCACCACGATCCAAATAACAATATATGTTGTTAATATTCCGTGGTGACGTGCCACCCGATCCCTTGAAGATATTGTTTTATATTTGAGTCCTGGAGCCATTTGCGTCCAGTTTTCAAATAAATAAAAATAAAAATAAGATGGAAATATATACTGGTTGAGGAGGAATTATTGTGCAATTAAACATTTTAACTTCCTTATCAATCAATAATTAAACTAATTGATGAACTTCTTGAAGAAAATATACGTACAAGTAATAAAAGTTCAATTATAAGGGAAAAGAAGTTATTAAGGAATTGTTATCATTGTTATTATTAGTAGTGAATAAGTTATTGTTACGATGAAGAAGTTAAAGGTGCGTGCGTCCAAAGGCAAATTTACACTTTTTTTATATGTCTTTGATGAATTATTCACCCGATTTTTAGCAATGTTAATAATCAATTGACAATCGGTTATCTCGAATTTTAACTAATTAGCTTATTAAAAAATAGTGACAATTCAGAAAACCCTGATTTTTATCAATTCTAAAAATTGGAAGTATCCATAATTTATTGTTTATGATTGATCAATTTGACAAAAATTGGGAGTATTACCGATTTTTCTTTTTTTTATTTGTGAATTGGGTCCCGCCCAATTGACCGACAGACATTATACCGACAGCCGTTATACCGACTCCGTTATACCGACAGGACGTTTTACCGACAAGATATTATACTAATACGACAAGACATTATACCGACAGGACGTTATACCAACAGGACATTATACCAACAAGTAATTTCATAGTGCAATTAATCAATCTAGCTGTCTAATAAATGGCTTAACCACTTAAACAGCCTAGCCATCTAATAAATGGTTTAACAGACTTGAACAGCTTAGCTGGCTAATAAATGGTCTAAGTGTACCCTCCTTGGGAACATATCATTATTTCTCATGAACATGCATTTAGAGAGGGTGTGCATTTAGAGGGGATAATTTATAAGCTCACTATAAGTTTGGGAATGAGACATAGCGTGCATTTAGAGAGGGTTTACATAGTGAGTGCATTTAGAGAGGTGCACTTAGAGGGGTTGACTGTATTATGCTAAATTGATAGAATATATTAGAAAATGACTTGTTGGTATAATGTCCTGTTGGTATAATGTCCTGTTGGTATAATATCTGTCGGTTGATCTGGGTAAACCCGTTGTATCAGCTAAATGATATTCACTGATTATCCAGTTAATTGGGTGTTGAAAATTTTCACTGGATGTTGAATTTTATTGACTGACTGATTATCCAAGTGTTATTGATTGACCAAGTACTTAAACACCCAGATAATCAACAGATACAACCACTATGATAGGTCACTTCAATCAGGTTAAATCACAAGGAAGGTTTGCTTTAATTAAATAGATAGATAATCATTAAAAAAATTTTTTTAATAATAATAAATAAACAGATAAATAAAATTTATTCATAAGTTATCTGGTATAGTTAATTCAATTTGTTTAGAATCTGACAGTTAATTCAATTTGTTGAGATTCTAAATAATTTAAAATATCATTAATAATAAATAATAAGATTAAATATATAACAATAAATTATATAATTACCATTATTATTACTAATAATTGTAACTTTGTTGGAGTTTACAGGTTGAGGAAGATTTGTAAAATTCAATAATCTACTTGTATAAACAGCATTCAGATGAACAGTTGCCATGATTGTTGAAGGATTAAAGGATTTTTTATCTGCTTCCTCAAATATATCTTTTATTTCTTTTAATTTATCAAACTGTTCTTCAGAATAACTAAAAATATTATATTCAATTGCATCTTTCCAAAAAGTAATAATTTTTAAAATTTCATCAGCTGTTGGTCTTTTTTCAGGATCAGCATCCATGCATTTGTATGCTAACTTAATATAACATTCTGGAGTATTATCTGAAAAACTAGGCCTTAAGCCACCACAGATCTTGAAAGCAAGATCTATATCATGTGGTTGATCTTTGAATGGCTGTTGATGTGTTGATGTTTCTGACATTAAAATCCCAAAGCTATAGATGTCAGATTTTTGTGTATAAGGTTTCTTATTTAATACCTCTGGTGCAATATATGGCAGTACTCCAACTATATCATTTTTACTTGATGTTTCTTGATCAGCTGGGCCTGATAACCCTAAATCTGTAATCATTGTCTCAGATAAATATTGAAAATATAAAATATTACCACTGTGAAGATCACTATGTATAAGTTTTTCTTGATGAAGTGTGTTTAAACCTGAGATAATATTATAAAGTTTTTTAATTTTATCATTCCATCCTGTATAATTTGATTTTAAATATTTTTTAAAATCTCCTTCAGCTGCATATCTCATTACAAAAACATATTCTTCTGTATTTGGATCTTGTGAAATGCCATAAATATTAACAACACCCTTGTGATAAGGTCCTATAAATTTAATATGGTTTTGAAGCTTTATGAAAATCAATAAAAAATTAATATATTATTTAAAACCATTAATTAATTGTCAATTAATTATATCAAATTATTTACCTCCTTTAAAAACTTGTCAGAAATATTTTGAGAATTTTTAACCTTTTTTAATGCTACAGCACGATTACTAGAATAATATCTTTTATTATTATGAATATATCTAGGACCATTTGACCAATAACACCTGTACACAGTTGCAAATCCACCTTCACCTATTCCTTTTTCAACTGTGAGTTGGTCATAAGGAATCCATTCAAGGTAATGATAGCTATCAAATCCTTTTGCTTCAAGCTGTGTATTTCTGATTATTTCATCTAATTTGTCATTACCACTGCTAGTCCAACT